GAATAAGTAGCTGGAAAATGCTAAGACCACTGAAATAAACCATGGGTGTCATAATTATAATATCTTTTTGTATTGTTTAGCTGGGTATTCAGGTTAGCATGATGCCTTGCATACAGTCAGAAGTCAATAAATGTTGAATATAATTGCTTATTAAAACATTTCCTAGTATATAAGACATATATATACACACACACACACTTATATACACACGCACATACATGCTCCTGTCCATTTGTAGTTTATTTGCTGCATTTATTACACTTCTCCATCTATATCAGAAATGTCTGTCTTCCACAACAGAGTAGGAGTGGGCGCTGTGGTCAGGTAATGCATTCTGTATGACATCTAGAAGATTCCATGTGTAACAGAAATACTTCAAGCAACCTGTCTTCTTCAAGAGCACTAACTGCTGGTTAATCAAATTTTCAGTTTAACTGAGACTCAACTATCTGACTTTAAGCTTGTTGGTTAAAAACATGTGAACAAACAAACAATTTTCTGAAGGGCATTGGTCCCCTTACCTATCCCAAAGTGGTGATGTGGAACAATATTCTCAGATGCTTAGGGGTCTTCCAAATCTATATTTAATATGGGGGCACCTCAGAGTTATTTTTACTGTGGTTGAAGGCATATAATATTGGACTGATGGTAAGTGACTTCAAGACAATAACAATAGGAAGGACAGGAAATTTTTTCTCATTTGTTTATTTCTCTGAATTCCTGATAGGGTTCATATCCTGCCAAGTTCCACTTTATTTTCAAAGAGTAATAACAAGTTTTGGTTAGTTGGATCCTGGGTAATTTTACTTTTATAAGACCAGCCTATTATAGGCACATTGCATATTCTCAGTGACTATTTGTTGACTGTTGACATAGTCATTACGAATGAATATCTTGTTCATTAGTATTCTTGAGGATAATAATACGAAGACAAAAAATAAGCAAATTAACACGAGGTATTGCTTTCTAAGAGTAAAAGAGAGCCTATGATTTTTCAAACCTTTATTTCCTTCTTTTGGCCCGTTTCCTTCATTTCAGTTTGCATAAAAGAAGATAGATACTTTGCAAGTGAATCTTAACTTAGAGGAAATTCCAGTAAGTTTCCTTACTTGAGAGTCCAAAGAAGTTTTGGTTATACTTGAAATCTGGACTGAAATTTCCTTCTCCAGGTCCTCAACATTTGGATCTTTACAACTCTGGGAAAACAATTCAGAAAGGTTGCAAGTGTCTAATACACTGCCTTCCAGACACGTGGAACGAACGCAAGTCAAGGTTGCAAATTTCCTCTTGTTATATTGTTACAGGCTATCATTGTAGAATGGCAGCGTGTAGACTGTAGAAATGGCATCAACCATCCAATGAAGAACATGGAGTTCTGGACTCTTAATTTTCAGGCTTTATTATTCAGAACAGGGCTACCACATACCTGCTCCTACTCCATTGAGGATAGTAGCTAAAAAAAATTTATAAAATATTAGAGCTCTTGTTTGAAAATGCACTTCAAATATTATAACTATTCTTACCAAAAATACTAATCGAAAACTCAACATAGGGTTTAAGAGCTGACTTTGTTTAATGCTTAAGGTTGGACTGTATTCTTTGGGAGGAAACATCAGCTCTCTTAGAACGCTAGGGTGTCTTTTATTTTAGTTTATCCGACTTCCATTTGAGATATTATTGCTTTAGGTCAGGGTGATAAGTTGTATTTCTAGGAGGCTGAGCAACTTAGTGTATCTTCTTTATGTTTTGTAATAATTCATCCCTAAGAAACTTGAACACTGGAAGCATGTACTTCCTTGGCAATATATACAACATTCATTGGTATAAAATAAATTCACAGTGACATCCCCTCATTTTCTAATAATAGAGAAGCTAAAGAAAATATAGGAGAACTCAATAGTCATTCATCTTTTATTAAGGCTGTAATATTTGCTAGTTTTCAGAGAATCGTGAGATTATCACCTTATTCGAATTTCACCTTAAAAATTAAAATGGTGAACTACCCAATTTTCATTTGACCTGTGAAACTGAAACTATTAGAGTGCAGTTATTTGGACACTATCCTATTTGAGAAAATTTTGCCTTCCCATAGAAATGAACCTTAAAACTTAAAAAGAAATGTTTTGATTGTGGGAACTAAAAAGAAGCACCATCTGTTGAATTAGGTTTATTTTAGGTACAGTTGGGCATTTTCATATATTTTTCTCTGTTGACATGAGGTGAAGGATTTAAAAAAAAATTAAAATAATATCAGAACATAAGGACTGAATATGCTCTATGCCGAATTAGAATAAAGAAAATAATGCAAATTAAGAATAACTATACTGAGGAGGATAATGCCCATAATATAAAATGAGAGGCTCCATTTGACCATTTGAGTTATGTAAAAGTAATCCTTCTTTAGGATTTCTATTATTTTCTTGAATAAATTAAAAAAATAAGATTAGATGACTTCTTTAGCCCAATGTTTCAGACATTACTGAGCAACACATTCTCATTTCTTAGGCTGGGCGTGGTGGCTCATGCCTGCAATCCCAGCACTTTGGGAGGCCAGGAAGGGAGGATCACTTGAGAGCAGGAGTTCAAGACCAGCCTGGGCAACATAGCGAGACACTATCTCTACAAAACTAGAAAAATTAGCTGGGCATGGTGGTGCGGGCCTGTAGCCCAGCTACTTGGGCGGCTGCGGCAGGAGGATCGCTAGAGCCCAGGGGTTCGAGTTATAGTGTACTATGATTGCACCAGGCACTCTGTCTGCCTGGGTGACCCAGAGAGACCCTGTCTCTAAAAACACAAAAAATTTGTAGATCCTTGGTCTAGAAATCACTTGGGGCACCTTAAAAACAAACCTATTCCTGTGCCCAACCCATGAATGGATTTATTACCCATTTGTGCATTGATAGTTCTAAAGATCTTTCCAGGCGATACTAGTACACAGCCATGATTGAGAATCTTTGGTTTATATCTCTTGTCACTAGTGTAGGGGCCACGGGAAAACTTCCTTTCGCCCTCCAAAAGTTCACTGAAAATCAACTGACAAAGGCAGGTTCATAGGAGAAAAGGCATGTAAATTTATTTGATCATAGTTTTACATGACACAGGAGCCTTTGGAATGAAGACCCAAAGAGACGGAAGAAACTGCCCATTTTTGTGCTTAGGTTCAACAAAGTATGGACGGCAATGTAGAAATATGATTGGACAAAAAGGGTGTGATCTAATGTTACTAGACTGAGTTGGGAAACCCAGCAAGGCCTGTCTGTCTAGATTCTTCTTGTCCTCTCTGAGACTCATTCCTTCCTTCTGAGTATAGGGTAGGACCTCTCTGGAACTGGTGTTATATGACCTACCATCAAACAAGGTAGATCAGATAATTTCTTTGTGGCTAGTTTTTACATAGGAGGCTGGCGTGGGGACGGGGAGAAGATTGGGTACTATTTTTAGGTTTTATGGCTGGCTTTGAAGAAAAGGTGCTCTGGTTTTATGTCCCACCTTGGAGAAGAGTCGTTCTAGTTTCTACAGGTAACGCTGGAGGAGAAAGAGGGGCCGTAGACAGGAAGGCAGGAGAAGATCAGAGAGAAGGCTTCCTTCTGAAGCCTTCATTTTGGGGTATTATTTTCTTAGCCCCTGAGATAGTATAGTATATATTTAACATTTAAAGAAGCAAATCAACAAAAGTGAAGTCTTTAATAAACTTGCAGGATTTTTTGCAAAAGTATGGAAGTCCATTGGACAAGTGTGTTAGGGCAGCTACCAGGGCTTAGTAGCTCACAGTAAATCGTTTTCCTTTAAATCATTTCAGTAACTTTTTACATTAGCATCTAGCATATCTATTTTTAGATGGAGAACAAATTGTTTTCCTAATCACCAGTTCTTGAAGTGTGAAACGAAGCTACCCTCCGGAAAAATAGTTTGATTTGGCACGTTTCTCTTAACATGATTCACAAGCGTATCCCAAACCTCTAATCTTCCCTAAATCCTTCGGCACTGTGAATGATAGCTAAAAGAATTTAGCATAATCATGCATAATGTATGATTAAATGTGTCACAGTAGACATTAAGAGCTTTCTGGAGCTCTAATATGAAGCCTGCCATATTGCATCTCTTGCAGATAAAGAAAAAAATGCAAAACAATGTATTTTGTGTAGATATTATTCTATAGTTATAAATGTGACTTAGAAGCCATTGTGTGTGTGTGTGTGCGTGTATGAAGATAAATGCCCACCACCTATCAATGGTGTCAATAAATGTAGCTTTTTAGGGGAACAAATTTGCTAGGTTGCTCTGACATACCAAGCCATCCAATTATTATAAAAGCAAATGGCCAGAAATTTCTCTATTCCCCTTTCTTTACTTTTTCCTCCATTTATCATATTTTATGTGTTTATAGAGCTCATTGTTGAAAGGTTTTCCATTTATTTCTTAGGAGTAAGATTTTTTTTTTAAAACCACTTTATTGAGTTATATAATTTACATACCACATACTTTACCCAATTGAAGTATATAGGTCAATGGCTTTTATATATCCACACGGTTGTGCAACTTTCACCACAATCAATTTGAGAACATTTTTATCATCTCCAAAAGCAATCCTGTACCCCTTAGTTATCACCTCTCAGCCCCCCATCTCCCCAAAGCCCTGGGCAACCACTAATCTACTGTGTGTCTCTATAGATTTGCCTGTTCTGGGCATTTCATATAAATGGAATCATACGAATGTGGTCTTTTTGTCTGGCTTCTTTCACTTAGCATAATGTTTTCAAGGTTCCTCTACTTTGTAGCATGTATTAGCACTTCATTACTTTTTATGGCTGAATAAAATTCCATTTTATAGATATAGTAAATTTTATTTATCCATTCATCAGTTGATGGACGTTTGGGTGAGGTGTTTTTTTTTTTTTTTAATAGGAAGAAACTGTTAAAAAGTTGAAGCTACTTAATTTCTTTAACATGGGGGGAAACATTTATGTCCTTTATTACAGGTGGAGACATCACACCCAACTATGAAGACCAGCATCCTGCTTGTGTTCCTTTGGGGTGTATCCTGCGCTCTCCCTGTAAGTACCAGGGTAGGGATGGATGAACAGAAACCCTTTTATACACAAAACTCCACATTTTTTAACTGGCTATGAGCCAAAGTGTCTCTGTTCCAGCCAGATAAAAATAGTAGTTTCTTAGAAAGCTGTTTTCTTTCAAATAGCATCCAAGTTATTTCTTATTCTGTTCAGTTGCCATTCATATAGCCATGATTCTCATTTTTCTGCCCTACATTAACTAAGGCTTTGTTAGAAATGCAGATTCTTGGGTCCTACCCCAGACACTCTGGGGACAGGGCCCAGCAATAGGGTCTTAAACAAGCGCTCTAGGCGATGCTGATGCAAGGTAAAGTTTGGCTACCCCTGCTCCCAATTCTGTAAAGTGTGAATAACTGCTGCTTCAGAAACTTCTATTTGGGCTGACCATGTGCACTCAATTTTCTAGGTAGCCAGGTATCAAAATGATGAATCTGAAAGTTCTAAAGAATGGAAGGTGAGTAGATATATGACAATTTTAATTTTAATATATTATTATTTTAATTTTAATATATTATTAGTATAACCAAATCGACTCCATTGCAAATGTTGAAACTGCTAATGACTTAATGAGCACATTGATACACTTAGCTATAGGTAGTAAAAGCCACGCTCTCTGGTTCATATAAGAAAATAATGCTTACATTCCAACATGGTATAATTCGGTGAGGAAGCATTTTTCTTTTAGCTTTCTTCTTATAATGGATGTGCATAATATTACAAAGGGACAAATGACAATGAACCAAGATTGTTCAGGAGAGATTAGGACCCAAAATCTGTTTTAACAGATGTCTGGGGGGACAGGAGGTCAAGTCCTGGGAGGTGAGAAAAGAAAGAAGAATGAGAAGATACTAAGTAGAGTCTTTGGAATGAGAGCTAATGTTTATTGAGTGTTGACTCCCAATAACCCAATCATTAACTCTCAATAACTCAATAATCTTTGCCGGGCACAGTTCTGAGTGCTTTACGTGTATTAACTTTCGTCACAACTTAATGAATCAGGAGTTACATCTTACTCCCATTTTACAGGTGACAAAACTGAGGCTCAGAGCATAAGTTTGTCTAGGTTATATGGCTACTTGGTGTTAGAGTCAGACATTGAATTTATACCAATCTGGCTCCAGAATCTACATTCTTAACCAGCATGTTATATCCCTCTTAGGAAGGGGCCAGGTCTAGGAGGTCAGTAAATTCTCAAGATTGACACTAGAAGAAGTAAGGGTTAAAATCTTATGCTAAGTCAGTGCCTTTTGTTCGCTACCTTGTTCCCTGCTGGTTTGGGCATATGATAGGCTGGGACCCAGTGCTTCTGGTGGTGGCCAGATAATGTCACAGACCTGAGGTGGGGTTTTGCCCCTGCCGGAGGCTGGAATAGACATTGCAGGATTTATTACGAACTTTCATCACAGATATCCAGAGGCCGGTTAACTGAAAAGCAGCCGCTGTAGGTCCTCTTTCTCTCATTTAACCAGAGACTCACAAACATGCCTTTTTCTCAAGTCTAGCCTTGGCATGAGAAAGATAACAATGTCTTTCTCCCTCCACCTGTTAATTCCAAACGATAACTGACTGGCGTAGAGTCTGCCATTGTGCCTGCCTGCAGTGTCACAGGCCAGAGACGCAAAGTGATTACAGCTCCTTGCTCTGCGGAAATACCCCCAGCCTGACACTGCTGAAAGGAGCTCCTCCCTGCTCTACTTTCCCCTTGGGTGTTCCACGGGGGACCTCACCCTGCTCAAGGGGAGGGGAAGAGCAGATGCAGGGTGGAGGTGGGGGAGCCCCAGAAGTTGCTCGGGTATTCTTACCGCGCATTGAGACTAAAGAAAGTAAAATAAATCACAAATAGGGCTAGTTAAATTGCAGATGTAACATTTGTTTTTAACACCAGGGCTCTTATGTGACTAAAGAAAGGTTTTAATGGCTTTCTCCATTCACTTTTTTCAACCATTCAATTTTATAAGGCAGAGAGTCTCAAAATGGACCATTTCTTTGGTTTATATCACATTGAATAGTTCTTAGGATGCTTCCATAGGCATTAGCTGGTTTTATCCTCATAGTAACCTTGCAAGATAAGCACAGTGAGGGTTCATTTTCTTAATTAATGAATAAGAAGCTGACCAATCAGACAGGTGAGGTGAATTGCCCACATTCACATAGAGTAACCGGTCATCCTACTTTACCTGGCATTTACAGGTTTCCTGGAACCTATGGCTTTTAGTGCTAACACCAGGATGGCTGATTTTCAGGGCTAACACCAAAATCAATGAGTTAATTGAAACTTAAATCTGGATTCTGGGTTCCAATGATGTTTTCCCTATGTTACATTTCCTCCAGGTTGTATGAACAGCCAGCTTGAAAGAAAGCACATTTTTTTCTGTAAGTGAAGTATCAGAAACAAAAATCTTTTAGATTTTTTTTATATCCCAAGGTCTTTTCAGGGCATGAGTTATTTTACCTTCATGTTTCAGCCATTTCACCATAAAATCTCATATTTACTTATGTAAATGTAACATATATACCGAGAGACCAAAAAAAAAATCTCCTAAAATTATTTTATATATTAGCAATGTCAGGATCCATCTCTGAAGGAGTAACTTGGTTTCCTTCCTCTGTCGCAGGGTCATCTGGCTCAGGCGTCAACACCAGCCTTGGTAACTATCATTTATTTTTGTCATATTCATCTCATGAAGTAATGAACAATCTTTCCATCACCTTTTACCATTTTGAAAGCAGTAAATCCAAACCAGAAGCAGTTGATGAGTATCACATTTTTTATTTTCTTTCCTGAGGAATTAGTAAAAGAAAAATAAACATTTTTTCCCCCTTTCAGGAGAGCAGCGAGTCATCAGAAGGAAGTCAACTTAGCTCAGAGGAACAGGTAATTAAACAGACCTTTCTTAACGTTTCAGGCTACTTAGGAATCAGAGGAAATGATGTTAGATTAAATTACCTGGCAACAGTGTTAAATATAATATTTTCTAACCATTGGTTATGCTAGCTAAATAGTCCCATAAGATGGGAAGGGAAAATGAGTGAGAAGAATTCAGAGGTGGATATGCTATTCATGTTGTTTTTATCACTGAAGCCAGACTGTAGGCACTGTGGCCTTAAATGTCCCTCCTAGCTAAAAAAAATACACACACAAACACACAAATAGTCATTGGCTATGTTAGGCAAGTCATAGCTCACTCACCAATCTAAAATGTTGCTTTTATAATTGGGCAGTTCAGATCAGGCAAAGAACTGTCTGAGAGCTCTCTCTGTCAAGAATCCTGCTGGAGGAGGGGATAGGAGGGCGCTAAGGAACTTTAGTAATGACTCTGTCTTGAAAACAGTCCCCTCTGTGACCCCGGGAGTGAGACAGGCAGTCTTAGCTTATATTCCTTTCCTGAAAAACTGGCTTTCTTTTTCCTTTTTCTAAGATTAAGTGTCATGTCTTTCTGAGCTATCCTATCATTTTGACCAAACTCAATCCTGGGGGAGCCCAGAGAGTCTAGGAACCAGGTTTCTCCCTGAAGCTTTGGCCCATATTGCAGTCTACACTCAGCCAGATCTGGAAGATGAGTTATTATTAGGCCGTTTATCCGTATCTACTAAAGGTTCATCAGAGGAACCTTCTAGAAATTTAAAAGCATAGAATTGGGGAAACGCTCTTTTCTGGGGACTTTGGGATTTATTGCCTCCATGTTTTCTAAGCTCTCGAGTGAGGGTTGAGAATCCCTGCTTGAGAAAGGTGTGAGCTGTATTTAATGAGGTGTGGTAGATTATACCACGTTCAGCTCCACCATTCCAGTAAAAATCCCCAGTATGCTCTGTTATAGGGTATGGTAAAGAGAGCAGGTTTTTCCAGAGTGTAATGTCCTTCCTTCTCTGTGCAGAGCAAATAGCTGTTTTACTTACAGGGATCGTCTCTCTGACCTTCCACTTAGCACCAAGCTGCCTTGGTGGTCACGCTGGCTGCCATCTTTTTGCTCAGCCGTCTACAGGCAACTCTCTGCCATGTATAAACATGGTTTGTGTGGCGTATACAAGGGCTGTCCAGAAAGTATCCAGCCATGTAACCATTCTCGTTGTATTAACAATGGCTAGATACTTTCCCGACAGCCCTTGTATACCTTACTGGAATATTTTATTTTCACTTTAGCTACAGGTTTTCATCCTCCTGCCCTAATATATTTTTCCCCCCAGAGGAAAAAAAAATATTTGGGTCATTTTAAGATCACTCAATAGTTTTTAAAAATTGTTTTAAACCAAACAACTTGATGAGTCAGCATTATAAACCAACTGTTTCGTTCACAAAAAAATTCTCTGAGAGTTTTATAAATGTGATTTCTAGAAAGTTTTTAAGAAAATTTTTGCAGCATTGAATGAAATGTGGCTATATAAAATGGAACGACTGGAGTTGCAACTCCTCGTCCTTCCTGGGTAAGCTCCCGTAGAGATGTCATGGGCAGTAAAATTCACCATGGGTTAGAGGAAGGGACTTAGGAAGAAGGCGGCAGAAAACCTAGACAGGCACTGGGTAACTCCCTCTCTGTCAGTTCCTGGAGTGCTGACCATGTCTGTCCACCCCAAACTCCAGGCAAATGAAGACCCCAGTGACAGCGCCGAGTCAGAGGAGGGCCCGGGCTCTGATGATCGTCATTCTGTCCACAGACCGGCTGGTGGCCTCTCTAGGAGTGCAGGAAAAGAAGGAGATGATAAAGATGATGATGAAGATGACAGTGGAGATGACACCTTTGGTGATGACGACAGTGGCCCCGGGCCCGAAGAGAGACAAGAAGGAAACTCCAGGCTGGGAAGTGATGAGGATTCTGCTGACATCACGCAATCCAGCGAAGAGGGCACCCCACAAGGGGACGACAGTGCCCAAGATGCCACCAGCGAGAGCAGGGACCTCGACGATGAGGGGGACAGCAGGCGCGAGGGGGGTGACTCCACTCGCGACAGCGAGAGCGAGGAGCACCGGGTGGGAGGCGGCAGTGACGGGGAGAGCAGCCACGGGGACGGCTCCGAGTTCGATGACGCAGGCATGCGGAGCGATGACCCCGCCAGCGGCAGGAGTGAGCGAGGAAGCTCCAGAATGAGCAGCGCCGGTGTCGCATCGGCGGAATCCGGAAGGAACAGCGAGCGAATAAGCGCTCAGCGCTCAGGGGCCAGCCAATCAGCGGAGCGTCCCAGCAGGACGGCGTTCAGGAAGTCCCGCCTTTCCGCGGAAGACGGCGGAGGTGCGCTCGATGGCGGCCACGCGACGGAAGAAGCCCAGAGTGACTCCACGGAGCACACGGACTCCAAAGAAGTGGCCCTCAGAGACTCCAGGGAGGACGGCGATTACGAACCCCAAGAAGACAGGGAGGAGGCCCAGACCCAGGGGGACAGTGGCGACGCGCCAGAGCCCAGCAGTGAGTCGAGTGAAGAGGCCGACTTGCCGTCCGAGGAAAACAGCAGCAGCGAGTCCCAGGAAGAGGCCGCGACCGAGTCCAGGGGCGATAACCCGGATGACGCCGTGAGTCGCGCAGAGGACCAGGGCGACAGTGACTCCAGCGACTCCAGCGAGGAGGGCGGCGCGACCACACCGTCCAGCTCGGAAAGCGAGTCCAGAGAGGGGCAGGACGGCGAGTCCAGCGAGAGCCTCGCGTCCTCCGAGGAGAGCCCCGAGTCCACGGGGGACGAGAACAGTTCCAGCCAGGAGGGCCTCGGGTCTCGCAGCGCGTCGGCGGCCAGCCGGAGCGAGGAAGAGCAGGACAGTGACTCTCAGGACAGCAGCAGGTCCAGGGAAGACAGCGACTCCACTGAGAGCAAATCCAGCAGCGAGGAAGACGGCCCGTCAAAAACCACTGAGATAGAAAGCAGAAAGTTAACGGTGGACGCTTATCACAACAAGCCCATCGGGGACCAAGATGACAACGACTGCCAAGACGGCTATTAGCATCAGCTTTTCCGGGAGGTGGCTCTCACGTAAGGGGGGCTTGAAAGTAGGGACATCATGATACTTATAATTTATTGATGTTTTGACCAGAAGGATAACCAGAGGCCATGTCTTTCTCAAAGGAATTGCTACACCATATACTTGTTTCTAGGGTGTCATCATTTCGTAGAGGCTTAAATAACGGGAACCGACACCAGCACACACTCAGTGAGGCTGGAAGCAAGGGACGACGTACATATAACCTCGCAGCTGAGGCAGCTCCTAACTCATTAACCTAACACACAGCTATGGAGGGTCTATGACATACCAGGCACCGGGCTAGGTGCTGGGGGTGCAAAGAAGCTTGAGACTTGTGTCTTGCTCCTGAGGAGCTTATAGAGGGATAAAGCTAAAGCGTTAAGGAGGGATACATACAAGGAAAACAAGAATTGTTACAATCCAGTGTGGTAGAGGCCAAATCGGAGGTATGGACACCATATATGGGAGCACTGGGGAGGGTGGCCAACTTTGCCTTGGAGAATTAGGGAAGGCTTCAGAGCAGGAAAGATATCAGAGTTGGAAGGTTGCATAGGATTTCTCCATGGAAGACCAGAGAATTCTATTCTTGGGATAAACAATAGCAAATACTATATGATTCAATATTTGGTTTGTGAAAGTATTCTCAAATTACGGCACAGTGAGGTGTTTTGGATAAACAAAACTTTTTTTTTCTCCAACCAATTTATCCTATTCATTGTTTTTTGTGGAACTCCCATGGATATCACCTCTCTGACCATGGGAGATGTCATGGAGGATTGGGTAGGGGAGAGTGAGAGAGAGAAATCCCTCTTTCCGTAGATAACTTTTAGCTTTATGTTTTCTAAAATCAGTTCGTGTGCAATGCTAGAAAAACTGTTCTCTGAGTCCTTTACATATGTTGCACATAGCAAAATTCTGTATATAGGATTCAATTGATTTTTGACAAATACCGTTTGAAATGTTACCTCAACATAAAATATTTGTTTTGTAATAAAGATAATAATACCGAGAAGAAATATGTGCTTATTTGTTATAGTGGGGTTGATTATTAGGATGTATTTATGTTAAGCAACTCTTTCTTTAAAACGTTACTAAATAGCTTGCATTTTTAGCTTCTATATCACAAAATACATTTTTGTCTCCCATCCAAATATACAAGTGGGTGATGTAGATGCCATATGCAAGAAGGAGGTTCAGATGCTGGGTGAGCAAAAAGAATGAAAAATGTCCCACTGATGGGAAGAACCACGTCCGTGCCAAAAGGAGGAGCAGCAATAATGCCATGGGAATGGCCAAGTCAACTTCTACGATCGGGGTGCGGTCCACACTGATGAAGATGGGAGGTGTAACACTAATACCAACGGGAGCGCATGGAACACCACGGAATTATTAGAGAGTATAGAGGAGCATTGAAACACAAGGGAACTGATATTTATCGCACAGTCGCTATGCTCCAGATCCTCCAGGTCCTGTATTAGGTGTCCCACCTCCGGCCAGAGCTCCAGGAATTCCACTGATGGCTCCCAGAGATGAGAGATGAGTGATTTTATCTATACTTTGCCAGGCTGCTGTGCAAGATGGGAGGATATACTTCTATATATGGTCAAGGCACTCTAAAACTGAGCTTCACAGGGAAAAGTGTCTGGGATTGGGCTTCAGCATTGGTAGTTTTTAAAAGTCCCAGGTAATTCTAAAGTGTGCAACCAGCATTAAGAATTCTTGCTATCATGTAATAGTAATTCTGGAAAGTTTGGGCCATTCTTAGGTCCCAAGTGTGGGTCTAATTTTGGAGATAAAATGCTAAAAAAAAACCTCCGACCCCACTTCATGTGATGGGTTGAATTTTTACCTAGTTACACAGGCTCACCTGCTTCCTCTGCCAACACGGTAACGGGCCCAGCGTTTCAGTGCCTGGCACATATAACTCGCATCGGCTCCCAGATGGTGAATAGTTAAGGCACAACCAGCCATTAGAAAAAAATGTAAGCAAGAAAAATTTTGCTTTTTGATAAACTGCCCATCCCAAGGTCAGTCATAATGCAATGGCCCTGAGTTCTACTCTGATTGGCTTTCTATTAGCATCTCCCTTGTCATAAAAATATATCTTACTTAAGCTTGTGAATGGTTTCCTTCTGCCCTTGTGCTACAATACAACAGATGGAAGAAATTACAGCGGGAGAATTAGCTACAGACTGGAGGTCTCATGGTCAGACATACAAAACAGAAAGCCTGGCTTTCCCTTTTTAGCACAGATCATAACTATTATTTTAAGCAACGGAATATAAATGTGGAGTTTGCTTAGAGGCCTTATTGTGTAACTGATATGAAAGAGACTGCCACCATCCTTTCATGCAATACAAGCCATCCTTTATTAACTAACTGTAGGCCTAGCAGGTTGGCGGAAGTCCCCCGGGGGGAAGAAGGGAGCCAGCTAGGAGCCAGCTTGAAGCCAGCCCGAGTGGCAGAGGGAGGGTATAGGAGCACGACTGGGGTGTTGTCGTTGGGCTCACATCCACCCCCACCCCAATAGAACTTCAAACTCCCTCATCTCCTTCCTGGGATAGGTGTTTCCCCACCCACTTCCTGCCCCCCACCCAAAGGCAATACCAAACTAGAGTAATAAATAGGGACTTTACACAGGTGGAGAAAGGACGAATTATGCTATGCCTTAAAATGAGAACCATATCAGTAAAGAAAAGTTCTGTTTGTCTTTTCGATGCTTCACTCAGAGGACAGACCTCAAAGGACCATTGTCCTTTGTCCTTCCCTATGCAGGGCTTGAGGGACGTGAATGACCGTCCCCGCTTTGCTCCAGCTTCACCAGGGGAAAATGTAATGGAACCAAATGACCCCCAGGGATGAGAAAGGAGTGAAATAAATAATGGAGGGGAAGAGAGGAGAGAAGAGGAAGGCAAGGAAGACAGAAAAGGGAGACCAGAGAGAAGAGAGAGTCCCTTAAGCCCATGGGAACTAGATTCCTTATGGCTCGGTAACTGTCTCGAGGAACGAAGTGAAGAGCTGTTTTCACTGTCCCCTAGAAATTGTGTATGTGCTTGATGCTGCAATGCTAAGATTTTCTTTCTCGGAGTGGATTGTACCTTCCTGACTTTTCAAATACAGTGTTGAAGGAGAGCAGTGGGGTGCGGAGGGTGTCACAGCAAGTCTGAGGGTTTATGGCAAATTGAAATCTGATCCACATGGGGTTAGTGGCCAAGGGAAGGGTCTGCAGAGGAGGATGGACAGGTTGCTTTGGATCTTGGCCAAAACCGGATTCATGTGGTTAGGATTGTGACAAGTGCAAGAGAACCACAGAGAAAATGCAAATGCTCACCGCACCCCAGTTTACCCTAACATGATGTAACATGAGTTCCATCAGTAGATACATAGCTTGACCTCCTAGCCCTGCTCTGTAAGCATGCATATTTTTTCCTAGGTGCAATTACAGTGATTTTAATTTTCTCATTTAACTTACACTTATTTTTTTTTTTTTTGAGACAGAGTCTTGCTCTGTTGCCCGGGCTAGAGTGCCGTGGCGTCAGCCTAGCTCACAGCAACCTTAAACTCCTGGGCTCAAGCGATCCTCCTGCCTCAGCCTCCTGAGTAGCTGGGACTACAGGCATGCGCCACCATGCCCGGCTAATTTTTTATATATATATATATATATATATATATATATATATTTTTAGTTGTCCAGATCATTTCTTTCTATTTTTTAGTAGAGATGGGGTCTCGCTCTTGCTCAGGCTGGTCTCGAACTCCTGACCTTGAGCGATCCACCCGCCTCGGCCTCCCAGAGTGCTAGGATTACAGGCGTGAGCCACCGCGCCCGGCCTACACTTATATTTTTAATGTTTTAAATTATAATTACCTAAATTACTCGTACGTCTTTCTTCTTTTTTATTATTAATAATGAAGCGATTAAAAACATGCAAATATTTTACTACTGACAACCTTACGTTGCCCATTATAAATTGAAGAAAAGAGCATCCATTATTGAGTAACAATGCAAAATTTTTCCCTCTGGCAACAATCCTTTTAATTTAACTACATTTATTCCACTTAGCTTGAATGGAGAATCACAGAATCACATGTACCTTTTAACCACCCCTCCCCCACTGCAAAACTTGCTTGATTTAATGCCTGTAATTTAATGGCACCAACTGAGAGTAAAAATGTAAATTATTTAAAGAGAACAGCAATTCCTAAATTGCAGCTGTTCCAGAGTTTAAGTCTAAGAGTTATAATCTAATAATAGCATTATGACCCAAAAGATAAAAATTGTCATTAAGCACAACTGGAATTTGTTTACATCTGTTTTGTAAAAATGAGATTCGTTAATATAGCATCAAATCCTGAAATTCAAGAATATTTGAATAAAGGTAATCCAAGTCTGTAATTTCTCAAAATCCCAGCAGGTGGCGATGTTGCCTGCTGTTGTGGTCCCTGGGCGGCTAGAAGGATGTGGGATCCAGAGCAGGGGAGAATGGGTCAACCTCTGACAAAATGAAATGCGGGCAGATCTTGCATTAGAGTGATGGCATCCTTTGTTCATCACTAATAACTTCTTAAACTATGGTAACATGCAGGATGCATAAGAACATGGAAAGGCAGGAAACAGGGAGAAAAATCAAGAGATTCCCACAGTGTTTCAGTTCGGACTAATTAAATAATTGAAATTTAAAAAGGATGCTGGGAAAATCAGATAGCCATATGCAAAAGAATGAACCTGAATTCCTATCTCTCACCATATATAAAAATTAACTCAAGACTTAAATGTAAGACTGGAAACCATAAGAATTCTAGAAGAAAACCTAGCAAAAACTCTTTTGGACATTAGCCTAGGCAAAGAATTTATGACTTAGACCCCAAAAGCAAATTCAACAAAAACAAAAGTAAACACGAGACTTAAGTAAACTAAAAATCTTCTGCACAGCAAGTGAAGTAATCAACAGAGTAAATAGGCAACTTACAGAATGGGAGAA